CATTTCTTACCGTAATTCAACGAGTCATGTGTGTGTACGTCTCGGGATGACCGGGTCCGAACATCCTAGGCCGCGATGGAATTAATCGCCTTCCTGGCATAATGTCGAACGTCAACCTGGTGAAAGACAATCCGCAGTTATCCGAGATTTTGCAGAAGCATGCAGTCTTATTTGATCAGTCGAGATCAGAACTTTTAAAGAATTACAGTGCACATTTGGTACTGAAACCACAGACAAAACCGCGGTTCTGGAAAGCTCGCACTGTTCCTTATGCCCTCCGTGATAAGGTCGAAAGTGAACTGCGCCGACTCCAGTTGGAAGGTACCGTTGAACCCGTCCAGTATTCAGACTGGGCAGCGCCCACTGTGCCAGTATTAAAGAGCGATGGTACGATAAGAATCTGTGGGGATTACAAGGTTACGATAAACCAAACGTTAGAATTAGACCGATATCCGCTACCAAAGATTGAAGACATTTACGCTTCACTTTCCTGTGGTGATCTATTTACAAAACTAGATCTGAGTCATGCCTACCAACAAATTGAACTCGATGAGGAATCACGCACGTACACCACCATTAGTACTCATCTCGGATTATTCCGCTATATACGCATGCCTTTTGGAATAAGCTCGGCTCCATCTATTTTTCAACGTATTACTGACTCACTCGTGAAAGATATACCAAGCACATGTGCGTACTTAGATGACATTTTAATTACTGGACGAACTACCGCCGAGCATTTACATATATTGGACGTCGTCCTGAAGCGATTATCGGATGCCGGTTTGGTTCTAAAAAGAGAAAAGTGTGAGTTCCTTGTTCCGAGTGTACGGTATCTTGGCTACCGGATTGTGCCCACTGGAAGAAAAGACAAAGGCGCTACTTGAGGCGCCAGCACCCAAAAATGTTCATGAATTGCGGTCGTTCCTCGGTGTTGTCACTCAGTTTTCCAGGTTTATACCATCGGCAGCAACTCATCTGCATCCGCTTCACCAGCTGCTACGTAAAAACCAAAGCTGGAATTGGAACAATACTCATGAAAATGCATTCAAAGCGGTCAAGAAGCTCTTAGCATCTACAGATGTTCTTGTGCATTATGATCCGCAGAAGCCTGTTGTTCTTTCTTGTGATGCCTCACCTTACGGTCTCGGAGCTGTTTTAATGCACAAATTACCGAATGGCTCTCAACGTCTCATTGCTTATGCTTCAAGAACCTTGACACCAGCAGAACGGAACTACTCTCAACTTGATCGAGAGGCAGCCGCTGTCATCTTCGGCACCACGCGATTTCACCAATATTTACTCGGGCGACCTTTCGTGATCCATACAGATCATAAACCTCTTGTTTTCCTCCGCGGCCACGAGAAAGGTATTTAACAAATGGCTTCACCTAGAATGGTACGTTGGTCGCTTATTCTTTATGCGTATACATAGGAAATTCAGTACGTTCCAGGCAAACAGAATACCACCGCTGATGTTCTTGGCCGGCTTCCCTTGCCAGGGACACCATCGAAAGAATTTATCCCACAAGAGCTCGTAAATCTGGTCCAGCATTTTAATGATTCCCCAGTCACATGTACAGACATACGTCAGGAAACTGACAGACTCTGTTTTATCGTTGCTCAAACGCTATGTCCAAGTTGGGTGGCCGGACAACACCCCCAAAGAACTCATGCCCTTCCGTAACAGGATGTCTGAACTCAGCCTCCAGAATGGATGCTTACTGTGGGGCGCACGAGTTATTGTCCCCAAGAAATTTCGGTCACGTATCCTTGACAAACTATATGATGCGCATCCAGGTGTCGCAAAGACGAAGTCGTTAGCTCGATTTTATGTGTGGTGGCCTGAATTAGACCGTGATATTGTGGCGAAGATTGGAAGTTGCAGACCTTGCCAGGAGACCCGAAACGCAGCTCCTCATGCGCCTATGCAGCCTTGGAAGTGGCCAGAAACATCCTGGAAACGAGTCCACGTAGATGATTTCGGCCCCTACGAAGGTCGGATGATTTTGCTAATCATCGATGCCCATTCTAAATGGATTGATGCCCATATTCTTGTTTCAGCAAATTCAGCTGGTACTATAGAGAAACTACGCAAAACGTTCGCAACATTTGGCCTTCCCGAGACATTAGTATCTGACAATGGACCAGCATTCGCCAGTGTTGAGCTTTCTACCTTCCTCAACTCGAACGGCATTAAACACATAACAACTGCACCCTATCATCCTTCTTCTAATGGGTTGGCGGAGACAGCCGTACAAACAGTGAAGAAGCTGCCAATAAAACAACCAAATGCTCCGCTGCGTGTGCGTTTGGATCGTTCCTTGTTCGCATATCGAAACATGCCAAACGAGACCACAGGCAGAAGCCCCGCAGAGTTAATGTTTGGTCGTCGACTGCGTACACGATTGGATTTATTGCATGGATCTATTGAGCCACAAGTTTCGGAAAAACAACAACGAGTGAAAGAGCGTTTTGATACTTGTAGCAGAGACAAGCATGTGACAGATTCAGATCCCATCTACATCCGCTTACGTACAGGCTCGGGGTGGGAGCCAGCCGTCGTTAAAACAACTAACGGACAGATAATAGAAGCAGAGACTGGGGATGGTAGGATCGTTCGACGCCATTTAGATCATGTGCGACCGAGATCGTAAGACACAGAAACAGTTGCCGAGACAGAGCAGCCAGTTAAAACATCGAACGACATGCACGTGCGTGACGCTGAGTCACAACTGAGGCGCTCTGAGTGACGACGCCGACCGGTCGATCGTTTCCAAGCTGGAGAGCTCCAAGTAAAGGGGGGAAAAGTGATACAGACGTTGAGTGCGTCAAGGACATGCTACACCACCTAGCCTGTGGAGCTGCATTGTGCTCGCTAGTGCGTGAGTGTCCGTCTCCCGACAAACCAGCGATGCTTATTGATTGGTTCAAAAGCGAGTGCTTAGACAAGACATGTGGACTGCGTAAAACTAAACAGTTGCTCTGTACCCAGTGTGGACTGCCGATGTACTATTGCCATTGCTTGTACTAAACTTCCATTTGCAATACTGTTGTTCAGATTTCGGTTGAGTGTAACACTGCCATATACACTCATCAGGTACCGAAAAAAGTGCAAAACACGAAAGCTGTTAAAAGAACATTCTCTGTCCATACAAGGTTTATGATCACTAAAATCATAGCACAATACTTTCATTTATATCGTCCCAATCAATTTCCTTAGCAGTTTTGCTCTTTCTTTTGCCTACTCCCTCGATAACTATCGAGGACTTACTTGCAACTTCTATCTAGCCCATAAGTTTCGCGTCGGAATACAGTCCGAATAACACCGGAAACAACCCGACTCACTCCCGAGATGAACAACTATGTTAACTTCAAGACTCATGATAATCTACCATTCACTCAACAGACGAATGGAAAAGACCGTCACGAATCCGCTCGATAACACCATAAGTTGACGGACCAAAACCACTGTAACATGAAGGGCCATCTATATAAAATTTCGCGCATAACGACCATTCGCGGTCATGAAATCCCCATCGCTATCTGTTCCTAACTATGGCAAGACACCAACCCCATTACGCTTTGAAACACTGTAAATCTTCTTCGCCTCCTTAACAAGAATAACTTACTATCAACTTTGATCGATATATATATATATATATATATATATATATATATATATATATATATATATGATTGTACAACACTGATGATGTCACCACTGGTGTGTCTCGTGTATACCCAAGAATATATTTGTTTGTTTAAATGCATGCTCGCGCCAAGTATTATCATTTGCAATTAGGAATATCAAGTATCCCTTTCCAGTGTTCAAAATGCAGGTATAGCTGATTCCATCCAATCTTTGTGTTTATCAGGAAACACTTCACTGGAATAAAGAAACCGTATTTGTCGGTAGTGAACAGTCTATGGTGGGCCAAAAGCAGATACTACTGCGCCAAGTGTCTGTAGCATAGATGTATCAAAGAAACAAGACAGAAGAAAAACGCTTGAGACCTGTAGATATACGCGCACTAGGAACAGATGCAGCAGCAGCGCACGCCACACAGACAGAGCTTATGCGCATGGCTGATGGTCTTCGTCACAGCAAGTAACTGCGCTCGCATCTCGGGTTCTTGCAAATGGTTTGACATCGGAAAAGCATTGCTGAAAATATCTGATCCCCATGTGAGTGAGAGAAAAAGTAATTCGCGGCAAAGTTTTGGGATAATGGTATCAGTTACCAGTCGGTCTATCAAGTTGGTTGTTAGTAGGTTGTCCGTTACATATCCGAATGAGCGGTAGGAAGCCTGCGGTTGCGGCTTGATTTGGCAGACGTGAGTATAAAAATTTCTTCAATTGTGGACTCACAAGGGCCAAATTCTCCAAAAAGGAATAACTATCTTGGTCAAACGATGTGAATAAAACGAGTTATCGATAACCACTCTCGCGCTTCGCACGTAGCCTAGTTTTCAACAGTACGACAACACACCATGCTGACGTTTGACTGCCACGCAACCGTCATCGCAAGGTCACCCGCAGATATATGGATTCGAACCGTTACTCTCCGAATTACAAGACAACCACGTAATCTACCAGACCACCGGCAGCTGGTAAGCCGTACCAATTCGAATTGTACCAAATACTATTTGATGTCCCCGCGAAGGAACAAACACGAGCTAGATTCCAATGGTTGCACTTATCTCTGTACTGAGCACTGGTGAGAACGTCGACTGTAGTATGTATATCAGAAAAACCAGCGGGATCAAGCAATTGACCTTCAGAATGTAACATATTTGTGTAAACAGGAAATATAGATTCGCAGTATGCACTGTACAATGTAACACATCGTACGATACAACAAGACATTTCGGGGTAAAATAGTAACGAGTTTGCGTAGTTGGGTAACAAAATTTGAAACATGTAAGGTTAACGCTATGTTCCACGAGTGTTTCGGTAAATACAGAATAAATCGCATCGAAGATCTGGTTCGGCCGGCCTTCAGGATTTCTTTGGTGCTGTAGAACATTGCTGTACAGGGAAATTAAGCGGTAAACGGCAGATGGGCCAATGGGATAAGGTGTAGATACATTCAAATGTGGATGTTTCGCCACAGTGTGGAAAAAACCGCACAAACGGATAGAAATAAGGACAAAAAAGTGTGAAATGTAGAAGATGGAGAGTGAGCATGATCAGCAAAAAAAGCGATTGACAATTCGATAAAGTAGACTGAATCCCTCCGAGCCTACTTTCATGTTTATGGTGGACAAGTACTGGACGCAGATTGGCGCCGTGAATCTCAGTGCACATGCGTTCAAGTAAAGAAGAACAAGTAAACATTGCCCCACCTTACTCGAGTAAGTTCACATGACCATCGAATATTTTTGAGGTACACCAACAAAAGCATTCACAGACTCAGCGGAACGTAAGGCATGCGTACGAATATACATGTAGTTGAGGATTATACGGTTAGTGTCGGTGGCGACGTAATTTCAACGCTGTGTAGTGTGAGAAGCCACAGAAGCGAACGAGAAAATCAGTAGCTACAATCAACAATATCTTGGGTGGTAACTTCTCGGGATTAGTTGAGAAGTTAATGAATTCCGCAAGCATAGATCAACGCAGTACATGAGCACTACGTCACAAGGATTCAGTTTTCGCCACTAATAATATCCCGTGGAAATTGGATTTACATGATTAAATTGCCAAACGACAAACACTAATCTCTTGTGTAAGGTTATACGGTCGAACCACAGCGGTAACCGATATTTTATGCATCTCGGATTCAAGCTATAATGTTATCATCTCTATCTGAAGAGCACAAATAACATCCAACCCCATCTTAAAGTGCAGTGTTTTGAGCAGGTAGCGGCTATCTACTTGAAGTATGATCCCACTGACTGCACTGACAGACATTCACCTTAACGCCGATCGTGACTGCAATCAATTTACAATCCGGGTACTTCAAACGGGCCGTTAATGAAAAATCAATGATTTGTAGCGTATAAAGGGATAGATAGGAGGTGGACGATTTCAAAGCAAACGATATTCGGGGATAGTTGTTTCACAATTTTGGTAAACCGAGTGTGCTACACAGTCGGAGGAAATCAAGAGCCTCAGTGCGAATACGTAGACAAGTTCGAATCCAAATGGACAAGCAATGCTAGTGGAATAACCGAATGCACACAACTAGACAACATGGATAACATAAAAACAAAAATGGGAAAGAATACCTGCCCCTGATGCGGAACAGTGGCATTGAATTGACGCTCCACTAATGCAGGACGACTGGCGGAGATTAGATCAGCGGGTTCCGGCTTCTGTGAGACGGGAATCTCAGGGCATTTGAAAACAACTTCGGAACACAAGGTAGGAGACATTCCCAGAGTGGGCAAACACTTTTTAGACACCAAAGAAGTGTCAGCAGCATTCGGAAGAGAGTCATCCTCAGCTAAAAATGATTGCAATAAAGAAAACTCACTAGCAGCCATCGAAAACAAGAAAGTAGCAAAGAGATTCGAACGGTATAAGCTGGAATCATCATAAATGTAAGCGCCACTAAGCCTTACAGACACACAGAGAAAACAGTGACCGAGAATGACCAGATAGCAACTACCAACCTGCTAGTCACTCATGCGCGTATATAGGCATCAAGAGCATGCCGCTACAACATACCGACGGTTCGTTGTCATGCAACCATCAGTAGTCGCGCGTGGGCCGAGTATACTGCCAAGTTGTCGGTACCCACGCAGATTCGAACCAGTGACAATTGAAATAAAAGGTAAGCACGTTATCCCTTCAGCCATAGGCCGAACCCATCGCAACAAGCAAGACTCCGCAATGTCGGAACACAGTGAACAACAGCAAGGGAGTAACAGCTACAGCACACTGGAAAGCGTAAAACAGGTAAGAGACGTCAGACTTCAACCATTCCTTCAAACTAAAGTCGAGAAACAACAGCTTACCCGGTTTATCCTCAACTACGACAGACCGTTCCGAGTCCAGGAAACCGGAAGCCAAGGTAGAATCCGCTAATGTTCCGTCGGAAACGTATTGGTGATAGGAGTCTGCAAATGCGTTTGTCTCGAAAGTAACGGGATTCCGTGGTGCAGCATAACCACCGCGTTTCTGAGGCTCACCTGAACCCCTTCTTCTACGTCGTCTACGCGCATTCAAACCCGAACCCAGTCTCTGCTTCATCAAATGTGTGGCGACCTGATGCGAACGGGTTTTCGGACGAACACGATGGAAGGAAAACTTGAATGATGGACGTGGACCAACCGATAGAGTGATTGAAGATTGGTCGCTACATTGCAGAGGAGAGAAAAGGGCATTTATACTTAGATGTGAAGGAATGACACACGGAATAAAAACGATCTCAGAGGGAAAAATGCAGCAGAAGTACGCCAGCACACCGTACCGACGCTTCGTTACCACGCGATCATCCGCAGCCGAGTGTGGGCTGGGTATAACGCGAAGTGCCCAACATCCAAGCGAATTCGAACGCTGTTTGCCGGCATTTAACTTGGGTGGAAAAGATAGGTGACCAAAGTGAAATAAAACAAACCAAACGAACGTATCACATATAAGGCCTTCACAGATCACCCAAGAGAAGTATGACACCATCCGCCGAGGTGTCAGCAATACGCCAGGACTCGGCATCGACGATTCGCTGTAACCATGAGTGGTTGCATATGGGTTCGGACACTACAAAGTCGCCCGCACCCATGCACGCTTTAACCGGTGGACTGTGGATCACAAGGCAAATTCCACAAAATAGCCGGCACCGACCGACAAAGGCCAACATTCAGATAGCATCAGAACGTACTCAGTCGTGTTGCCGTCTCTAACAGCGGCTGTTGAATCAAATTGAGTGGAATCTGCACCACCTAGATCATAATGATTCACAGCGTTCCGGATGGCCAGCGAGGCGTCGAACTGTCGAGTGGGAGGACTGAGCTCATCTACTCGAAAGATCCCTTCCCTGGCAGTTGATGAAGACCCAGTAGCCAAGCAATTCGTCGGAAAAATGGCCACTGCCTCAGCACGGTTACCTGTCAATGCAGATGAACGAAATAGGTTAGCGAAAAGTAGAAAAGCTAGTATTGTGAGCGATAATAGGGCAAAGCTATCGGGATGTATGATGATAAACTACATGGGCTTATACTTATTTAGTCATCAGGTATACGCAGGCGGGTAACGACTCAAACAGGTCCGTAGGGATTGTCAGCGGAAGCTTTTAACAAGATGCGATCCTGCAATCCCGATCTGAAGAGCACACAGGGGTAAGAAGAAAAGTCCTGGAGTATAGTTATATGAACAGATAACATCAGACAGTTATCTGCTTCAGAAAAGATCCCAATAATCGGATTGAATGAGGTTTACTATGAAGAGAGTCATGGTACAGATAAAAATTGCGTGCCACAACCCATTGCCACAACAAGTGCTTTGAGAAGACTACAAAGATTCAGATATTTCCCCACTTTGCAAGAAAATGCATTTATGGATTTCGGCTTCCGTAAAACCATCAAGGAACCACCACAAAGCTGTGACGTTATAAAAATTGAAATACAGAGAACACGATGGTGTGGGTGATAACTCAGCGGATTTGCCGCTGTCCGGTGATGGTGCCTAAATTTTTGATTCCTGTGGCATCAACACAGTGAAAGTTAGAACAGCTGCACAAAGCGCAAAAAGTGCACATGTAGACGGCTAATAAGAGCGGCCGCGAGCAACAGAATTTATCTAAATCCATAATCATCATCCGACCGTAGATAGTGTCGTCCGGATCGCGTTTTACTAGTGTCTTCCTATGGCTAGTTTCCCTCGTTCTTTGCATTATTAAAGTCACTTTTGTCTCTGACTTTTTGTGTAATCCACTATGTTTAGTGATTCCGAATAACTTATTATAAATACATATCCTAGTTGATTTCATGTTACTCTGATTTAGTCGCGCCAATCGATACCACTTTTGAACTGACAAAACCGACTGCTTGTGGTAGCTGTTCTAAAATCATAGGTCATCGCACAAACTCGATTACATGAGGGTTGTGCAGTGTAAAGTTTGAAATTTAGTGCCTCGGTCTATCCGTGGACCAAATTCGCAATAGTACAGCCCGGGCTTGCACGTAGCGTTTCTCAACGTTTGCAGTCTTCTGAACAAACGTGGCGAGCCGTGCTACTTCGCAACCTCTCAGCGGCAAGACGTATAAAACCTTGCTGTAGCATAGTTAAATTCCGAGGTAACCGCCCAAGAAACAGAAATCAGTGGCCCCTCGTACTTCAGCTGTGACAGACCATCAAATGAACGCGGTGTTATGCTGCCATACATAAGGTTCAAATTGGGTGGGAGACTTGTGAACACCTACTGAAGCGCTGATGACCCATGTGAGCAGTTATGGCGTTCGATTCACCTCAGACGCTTTCAACCATTAGAAGGTTGACTTTAATGGTCTCACTCGAGCAATGAGTCAAATGGATTGACTGTTACCAAACGATTCACTTGTTGAAGCTTGTTGGATTACCATAGAAAAAGCAATAAAAACGTTGAGCGCCTGAATTGTACCCATATAGTATCGGACAAGTCAAGCGTCATTGGTTAGAGAAGGAGTACAGTAAACTGGCCCGATGGCCACAAAGACAATAAAACAAGTTCGTAATTCTGATAAAGCTTTCATCCCAACAGTTCACAAGCTACATAGTAGACCCTAGTCCGGAAAAGTACCAGACGCGTTTCGCCCTATTGGGGCTCGTCAATGGTGCGCATTCCCACGGTCTTCTAAGGAGGATCGAACCCATGACCATTAGCATCATCATACACGTTAGCTAGAGGTGGGAAACACCTCAGCTACTGTGCCGCAATACATAGAAAAAGGAGAAAAAATGCAACTGATGCAAGCTGACTGAGCTACCGGTAACGGGTGGGCATCGTTCCAGCTACTGTGCATTAAAAAAATTGCTACGCAAAATTATATAAGGCTAAATAATGAAATCGTGTTTGGAGGGGGAGGCTAAGAGGGATGGGGTGGGACAAAAAAACTCACAGCACGAACGCCACTGAGGTCGGCTCCTAGCCATATCAGCAAGTGTGTCCAACCAAACGTGTTCATCGTCTTTCGGACCCCAACCAGCGAGCCGAGACGCTCCAACCGAGGCCAGCTCAGAAGTGATGGCCTTCATTCCTCTCGACCAAGTCAACGCTTGGCCAACCCTCCTCTTCTTCCATCCACACCCCCGGCGCGCAAACCACACGTCGCGGTAGTCGGTGGGCTGGCATACGTAACACGTGGCCAAGCCATCGGAGCTTGATGCGTGAAATAACGGTGCTGAGCGGTTCAGTTCTTTTTCCTGTGCCATAAACAAGGCGTCGAACACGTCCGTTGCTAACGCGGTGTTCCCACCAGATGTCAGCTAAAATATGAAGGCACCGGTGGTCGGACGTAACTAGCCGCTTCAGGTTCGCTGCTTTAAGCGGCCAGGTTTCACAACCGAACTCATGACCGCTAAAGGCAGATGCCAACGAGCCCGCAGCTTAAGTCACTGAGCCATAGGGGACGTTGGCTAGGCTACATAATTTGCAAACTAACTGGGATATGGCACCACCTACCTTCCACTGTCACAGTGGTTAGCCTGCAAAGTGATGACTAAAAATTCCTGCTACTCGTGAGTAATATAAACAAATTCGTGTTATTTGGATCTGACGAAGATTTTGAGGCGTACAAGAGACAACGAAATCACTGCAACAACGCGAAAACAAAGGAGTGGCGAGACTTCGAAGAGCAGTTTGAAGCTGTAGCAAAAACGGCTTTCAAGAGGATCTTCACCTATGTGAAGCGGCGTGTGAGGTTTGTAGGCAAGGTGCTAGTGCTGAAAGGCTTAGATGGACAACCCCTAACCTCGAGCACTGATCATGCGTCCGCATTCGCGGCGCACTCAGCTTTTCTATTTGCAATGGAACAGCTATCTGTACCAAGTCCAACGGGTATCATCCCTACCGAACAAGACATCCTGGACTGCAGTATTGAAGATGTACACAAGCTGCTGGTCAATCTTGATGGGAACAGGCCTTACGGGCCAGATGAAATCCACCCACTGATACTCAAGTCATTATCGGCCATCATCTCGCCTTCCGTGACTAAGCAATTCAACAGGTCACTATCCACTGATCCAGTAGTGAGCGAATGGAAATGCTTAGATCGCAAAGTCAATACCGAAAGTTGATGACCCCAGCAAAGTAGACAACCATCGGCCGATTTACCTGGCCACAATAGGGGACCGAGGGAATGCGCACCACTGATGAGCCCTAATAGGACGAAACGCGTCTGGTGCTTTTCTAGATTAGGTTGTGTTATGTAGTTTGTGAGCTTCTGGGAGGAAAACACTAAAATTAAAATCCACCTACTCATTGGTATTAGGAATTCTTATCAGGCAATAACAATTGTGTGACAGAAACAAGCAACGTAGTATGCTAGTGAAAGCTAGATTGAGGACTGCTGCTGTTTGAACGAGACCGGTAAATTGGATCGATAATTAGGCCGATCCACTGGAGGTAGGCTACGCAGCCGACGTTACGCTGCTAGTATCGAATATCAAGGAACAGCCGCGGGGCCAAGGTACCAAGAGCGATTGCACTAGGACTTTCTGCTTGCACAAATCAGGTTGAATCAGCCTAATAGCGGTGGCCTCAGCCGTCTTTAATAGACGCTTTCGGAGCGCTTTAGGGTGATGCAGCGTCATGGAGTAGAAAACCCCGAACGTGTTTGTTATTCGGATTCCATGTCCACTCAGGAATAAATGCTCTATGATAGCGCTATTGATGCTTCAAGGCAAACCACTTCGTAGCGATCTAGGGCAGTATTCTGCTACGCGGTTTGACAAACACCTAGTCGTGTGTCCAATATATCTAGCACCACAGATGTAAGTTAATTGATACAGAACGTATTAATCGGACTGGACCCGGAGTGTTTCCTTCAGATGTGATGTTACAAATGGAGTAGTCTGCGCAAGTACATCAGGTAGGCGGCGGCTGGGTAGGTTCTGGCCACTGCGCTTGAGAGTCAAAAGCGGCATCCACTTTAAATAGAACTGAGAGAAATACGACTTTTTGGTAGATACATTGTGGTTTCAAGACGCAGCCGTATCGTTCTGTGGTTTTTGGTAAACGGAACGGGACATCGGTTCTCTTGCACCGTTCTGAAGATGCGATTTTTCTCTGAATCAAGTGTTTTCGGGTAAAAGATTCTGGAGGCATGATAGTGCAAGCAACCACCCAGCTTGTGTTGCAAAAGTACAAAGCTTAAGAAGTGAGTGTATTGGCCGACCCAAGTAGGTTTCCGGAAAACGCTTTCCTCTAGAAAGCCGCCATTCAGTCGTTTCAGCAAAACATCCAAAAAGGCCAATTTTTCTTCGCTCTCGTTCTCATTGGTGAGATGCAATGATAGACGCGCACTGTTGAATTGAGCTAATAGAGAGGAAACGTTTAAGTTTGAATCCCGATAAATGTGTCATCCATGTACCTGAGGTAAAGATCAAACGTTGAGATGATCGGCTGCAAGGGTCCACGTTCCAGTTTCGCAAGGAAAACATCAGCAAGAAGCAGTAATAGGGGGGTGACCTCATCGATACACCATCAATCTGCCTATAATAAATTCCATCAAATAGGAACTGTCTATTGAAAGTGCATCATAAAATCAATCTCTTTACGGTGCCAGTTGGAATACTGAGGTCTAAGTTATTCGCGAGAATGTAATCACAAGGGAAATTGACGGTCTTTAGCAAAGGAACGTTTGTAAAGAGCGATTTTACATCGAATGAAATCACGAGTTCGCCACTGACGTTTACATTTTCTACGTGTTCAACAAATTCAAACGTGTCTTTTAACGAGTTAGTACAATTTCTCTCTGTACTGGCTCCAACACTTCCACGAGCCACTTCGCGACAGAGTGGAAGGCGGAGGAGGACATGTCAATTATCGGTGGTTGAAGTACCTGTGGCTTGTGCACCTTTGGAAGTCCAAATAGCCTGGAGGGATGTGAGCCCACAGGAGTTAGCCGAT